ATCCACCACCAATGCTGTGATCTCCTGTGCCCCTTGGGATGCTGAAGAAGTGTAAGGAAGATGAAGTGGAACTATGAGGTCCAACGTGCAGGTGAAGTGATGGGACAGGGACTGTATTTTGAGTGTTGGGAAGGTGCAGTAGGAGAATAAGGAAGAAGCAGACAACGGACTCCAGCCTTCTTGCTCACTTACGGTCCAGCATGATTTGAGAGCTGCTACTGCAATGGATGGTCCTGGAAGCGCTTGCCAAGCAAAGTTACAAAATCCTAAACACCTGAGCTTTTGTCACTTGCAGGCAAGGTCATCAAATTTTCATACCCACCTGGCAAAACAAGTTCCATTTGCATGATAAACACCATCCACAGATAATGTCATACATCTTCTCTAACAAATTCTTGAGCTTGCATTCCCAGGCAGTGTGTATTTTAGAAAACCTGTTTTGGCCACATGTCAGCATAGCATGGCTGTTACTTAATTTAACAAGAGTTAATTAAGCCAATATCATATTGATGAATGTATTAGAAAAACATACACGTTTGGGAAAGTGTATGACTGGACTGTACATCAGCTTTGTTCTTCTGTTGTTTGCTGGTTAAAACAAATGTTTGGCCCTTGATAGCCTTCTTTCTGTTACTATTTTCCTGGTGTTTTTCTTTTTTATTTAATGTCTGTCTTTTCCTGTGCTTAAAATAGTTGTGTGTGTGTTTTGGATGATGGGTTGAAAGCCTTTCATATCAATACTGTATTCTTGCTGTCTTTACTGAGTAATGACAGTCATCCAAAATGCGTATGTGGCTGACTGTGCCCATTGCTTTTCATGTGTCTTGGTGTCATGGATCTATATTTTGCAAAAATGTCTAGTTGTATTTGAAAATTTCTTGTAATTTTTAGTTCTATAACTCTTGCTCTACACCATGTTAAAATTATGTGTGTCTTTTAATTGTATCCCAAGGCCTTTGGCTCTGTCTTTGGAGAGTTTTCCTACTTTGTGTTTATTCAGTTACCTTGTAGATAGGTGTTCTACCTTATAGAAGAAGGTAGCAGATTTGATGGGGGAACTTACCCAAAGGTGTAAGCTTTGCTTATTATTTATGTTAATTGGTCGTTTGAGAGCAGGAGGCCAAAGTATTTGTGGGGGAGATAAAAGTCATCTCTTGCAGTTCTGGCTGCCCTCTCAGTATAACCATAGCCGAGAACCAGGTGCTGCAGCGCTGTGTGATGCCGGCTGCCTCTCTCCATGCTGTGCCAGCCTCACGCCAGGTAAAAAGAGAAGATTGGAAGCCAGGACCTGTGTCCTTACGTGACACTGGGAGTCAAACAGGGGTGGGAACTAAGTCCAGGTTGCTGACAACACGTTTAATGTTTTAGGCATCCTTTTTTACATCCTGGGTTTCAGAGGCATGGTGGTAGGCATTTTAAAATGCATAAAATAGAGGATGGTATTTGTCTGTCCCTAGTAAATTTCATTAGTGCCTTTGCCTTGTCAGAATGCTGAATACAATTCAAACCCCAAAGTCCAGGAAATGATGATGTTAAGGGCTAGCACAAACCATAATATAATCTTAATTCTGACCAAGAAACTGATTATCTCTGTTGGAACAATTCAGTAACGGGAGTACTGTAAAGAGCAGGTATGAAAAACTGAGAAATCCATTTTTGTTTGCATCTTCAGCTTTCATTGTATACGCTCCAACGTCAAGTAGCTGGGAAATACTTTAGCAAAGGAAAGCATAGGTGTTAGCTCACAGCAAGTGCCGCCTTTGAGGAAGCAAGTGTACCTGTTTAAGGATGGGATTTGTTAGGTTGTTAATGGCCAACAAGGTTTTCTTCTCATGCATTGCTGGTGATGTGATGCGATGCGACGTGACAGTCAGTAGTTTGTGAGCACAATGAGATGTCACAGAGCGAAGGAATCGTCCGATCAAAGGCTTGTAACATTTAGTGTCTGAGAACATTTTAAAATGTACAGCAGGAACATTTGCTGTAGCTCTTGTTTGCTTTAGATGACTAAGGCAAAATTGGATGTGGCCCATGGTGGCTGTGCTTTCTTCCTAGGGGTGTTGTATTGCTTGTAACATGGAAAGGTAACATTCTTAAAGAAGGTTTCAGCTGCATTTTGGTGCTTATATTACCTTAACTTCTTATTTCCCATTTAAGTTGTGAGGATTTTGCTACCCTTCACATTTCTGAAGGATGTTTCTCTACTTGTAAGGTCTTCAGTTACTTTGTGCATGAATTACATTTAATAAATATTTTTTCAGTATTGTCATGCAACAGATTTTCTTCTTTTTTTAGGGCAGGAAAGGCATGTTTTCAGGAGCCTAGCAGTATGACCTTCCCCTGGGATACAGGAGACCCAGATTTTAATCCCCTTGACCAGGAAGACAAGAACAGGCATACAGTCAAGTCAGGGTTCTTTTTGTATTGATCTACTTCTGTGTCTCAGGCAGAGCCAGTACTAGGTGAATAAGGTATAAACAGCTCAGGAATAGAGTAATACTTACGTCTTTTCAGCTTTTTGATGTCTGCTTCTTTGTGTTTAGTAATGCTTGATGTACTTTTCTTACATAAATTCATCTAATGGGAGATCAGATCTGTCATGTCTCAGAAGGTAGGCTCAATTCCTTTCATAAAATAAAAAGGGAAATATTTTATTCTAAGGCTGCAGCTGGTGATGTTCAGAGGCTGATCCAGACTGGCTTGGCAGTGGCATACGCCTCTTCAGATCTGAGCTCAGGTCTCCATTGCTTCCTTGGGCATGGGGACTGGAAGTGAGTGGGGTACCTAAAAATGTGATGGGTGATATCTGTAAGAAATGGCGTGACTTCAGGAGAGGATTCATAGTTGAAAAGTCTGTAAAAACCAGAGAAATTTTTTTTAAGCCTGAAGGCAGTCCAAGACCACCTTTACACCTACTGACCACTGGGTATCTTAGTATTTTCTGAGGAGTCTGTTCAAAGGAGCATGGTGGGGAGACGTGAATCTCAGTGAGATCTGGGAAGATGCAGCCTCACAGTCTCTCTATGGGTTTAGCTGTCAGTTGTTTATTTTCCTTTTGTTGTGTTTAGTTCCATTTTCTCAGAGGGAGGTGAAAACTGCGGAGGGTAACTTCCCCCATGCCAAGTGCTGTCAAATATTTTCTTGTTGGTGCTCATGGATCAAGTGTGTTTCTAATGTAAAATTTGACTTCCCGTGCAAGCTTCAGAGAGCATTGACCCAACTTCCCAGATGATTCCATATGCTGCTGACAGGACGTTCACTGAATTCAACAAACACAACTTTGTCTTACTGACCTGCAGTCACCATCTTATGAGACTGCCTACAGATAGTCTAGCATGACATGTCTAGCTGCCTATGACCAGTTCTTTTTTAATGCTTCGCGTCGCTCAGCACAGCTAGAATTAAACGCTTAATAATGTTTTCATTATTGCTTTCCCAGTGGGACACTGGGTGTCAGCAAATTGCAAAGTAAGCTGAGCCAGTAAAGGAGTTTTGGAACACTTGTGGAGTCTTCCTTGTAGAGAGGAGAGACCTGAGCTCCCTGGGATTTGCTGGGTTTGGGAAGCACTCGCTCATGTTAGCTAAAAGCCTTTCCTCCCCTGCAATACTCTGCTCTCTTCCTTTTGTCACACAACCTTCCTCTGCTATCTCTACAAAAAGGCTTTCATGCAATCTGGCATGTCAGCTGTTGCCTTTGTGCATTGTGTTGGGTCTGGGATAAAGCGTAAGCTCTTCAGCCCCGGTGCTTTATAGTGTGGCATGAATGCTGATGGTGCTCTGGGTAAGAAAAAAAGCAACCAAGCAAACTTACAATTAACAATAAGCAGATTTGGGAACTGTGAGTTCCTAGAAGTAGTTGCATTTTTAAAGGTTTTCTTTTTTCTTTCCCCTTTTAAAGCTGTTCACCGTGGTATTTTCATTATGGAAAACTGCATTGGTAGGAAACAGACTTGAGTGTAGATCTTAGTATTACATGATTTATCTTCAGAAAGCCCATTAGTGCTTGGAGTAGAAGCTAATCTACTTCACAAGTGTAATTTACATCCCTTGTCTCATAAGCAGCAGAAAGTAACCACACTGCAGAACATCATCTTAAGAAAGAGCAAGTACTGGTCTGTTTCTGTATGTTTCTATTTCTAGAGGCTTTTCCCACCAACCTAAGGTGTGTCAGTGTGAACACTATGCAGAGAGAGTACAATCCGCTGCAGCAGAGCTCCTCCAGGGAGACAGCTTAATCAGCCCTAGGGTGAGCTTTTGAATCAGGGAGGTGACAGAGTGTAGAAAAGAAGCAAAGATGTGAAATCTTTGAATGTGACTGTACCTTCTGGAGGGGAGCAATTGTATTATGCACAGTAAGGCAAAAATAGAAAGCAATTCTGTGATATGTTGTGAGCCTTAATTCGAGCATCCATCCTGAATTCCCTTGCTGTAGTGAGCAGTTAGAAATCAAACTCACATGGACCCTTCAAAACACAGAACAACAAAAAAAAGCAACCTAACTATGCTATAATCAAGCACTGGGGTGCTGACAGAACCTCCCCGGCACAGATCAGTACTAAGACCATGATTCATCCTCTTGAGAAATACGTTTGGTGCGCTAGTTTGCTTGGGTTTTACCCCAAACCCTGTTGTTTCGGGCATGAATTAGCAAGGCAGTTTTGGCACTGCGAGTAAGTGTAATGTGCCCTCTGTCTTTGCAATTCTGTTTTCAAACACTTTTTAGAACTGATTTCTGGCTACAGGTGTCAGCGTGGGCACTAAGCATCTTTTCTTGTGGCAGCCTACGTATCTTCTTTTGAGAAGGGCCAAAAGCTGCAGCTAAGGTATGAGGCGATGCAAAAATTAAGATGCTCCAACTCTGGCTGTAATCAGCATGCTGTCAAGTTGTGTCAGCCTTTGGAAGCAGAGGGGAGGAGAAAATAGAAAATTGAGTGCGGGCGAGCGGAATACGGACGTCGATGCACAGATTGACCCTCTGCGTGTTTGTTCTTCATCGACAGGTTGATGACGCCTGGGAGTGAAATTCGATTTGTCCATAAGCACATGGGTCTGGTGCCTGGCTGGGGAGGAGCTGCCCGGCTGGTGCACATCGTTGGCAGCGGGACTGCCCTGCGGCTGCTCGGCGGCGCTGCCAGGGTGGACCCCGAGACAGCTTTGCGCCTTGGGCTCTCGGAGGAGACGTTGTCATCTTCAGATGGAACGGGAGCATTAGAAGAAGCCCGCGCCTGGCTGAGTCAGTACACGGAGGGTCCAGCCAGCGTGATTCGGGCGGTGAAAAAGGTGGTGACAGCGGGAAGAGAGCTACCACTGGAAGCTGCCCTAAGGACAGAGAAGGACGTTTTTGGAACTGTATGGGGTGGGCCTGCCAATTTGCAGGCACTGCTTAAAAAAACAAAACATAAATGACAGTCAATGCATAAGAAATGTTCTTGACCTTTTTTGCAAACAAAGCTTTCACTAAAGCAGGCATTAAACCCAATCATTTAAGGACTTCTTCATTTAAACTGGCATTAACATTCCTGTCATTCACGTCAGGCAGACATATTTGGTGTGCAACCACAGAGAAATCCCTGGCAGATTCTTTACTGTCCTAATCACCCATTGAATGGAGATTAGTGAAATTAGTATGTAAAGGTAAATACTGTGCTGAGAATAGAACTATAATTCTTTTGGAATGAGGCTGAAGATTATTTTCTTTGGAGGTAATTTTGTTTTTCTAACTGGTATGGAAATGAATTGCTTGAAAGATACGAGGTTTATTTATTTGCAGAACAGGTGCATCTGAAGCTGCAAAATGAGAGTTCCTGAACATGAGACCAGTGTCTTTAAGCAGCTTTGAAGGGGTGATAACTGGTGAGATGGTAGTTTTTATTTCTTCATCTTTAGTCAGTTCTTTGTACAATTGCTGAGAAAGTATCCAAGGATACTTCAGCTTTAATGGTGATTTTTACAGGAGAAGCTCTAACTCCATGAGGAGCTTACAGCCCTCATTCACTGACACTGACTCAGGTCATTAAATGCATTTAGGTGTCTTCTCACTGCTCGAGGAACCAACTACCTACATACACATCTGCACATTCCCACAGCCTGGATCTGTGCTGCTGAGCACGTGCAGAACTGCTGGCCTGATTCTTTACATAGAATCTGGTTGAAACCTCGGAAGGCCATGATGCGTCATGCCCCAACATGAGGATGGATGTCCTTGACTGACTGGGGGGTCTGAGTACTTCAGCATTCTGGAAGGACTTGTGTGTGGACCTGTCTATGTCTTACTTCAGAGTATTCTTACTGGTAGGGCATATTTGGCCTGACCAGATTTGGAACTCGGTCTCCACTTTGTGCTGGTGACTGTGCAAGTAATTAGATAACTCCGTGAGGAGGGCTTTCCCTTTAGGAATTAGAAACCGTCACCTAGTCCCTGCTTGGACAGATGATTCCTAAAATGAAATATGAGAGCAAAAACATGCAGACATATCCATGAGTGAGAGTTTCCTGTACTGTTGGCCAGGATGCACTTGTCTAAATCCAGCAGGGGCTGAGATCTGAGCCCAGGACCCAAGTACTCCAGGGGACCATGTTAAGGTGGACACTGGGCTATGTGGCATTGACGTGCATTCTCACTCTGACCAGGCATAACTAACTCTAGATACATGAAACAAGCTCCCTTAGGAAAAGGAGGCAATTCCTCGGATGGAAATCCATGTTTCAATTTCTACAGTGTGGCAGGATTCTGGATTTTTAGACAGCGAGGTAACTGTACATATGTTTGAGGATCTTGGGACAGATCAATGATGGGAATTAGGTCTGGATTGCCTGTTAAGATTCTGCAGCTTTTGAGCAGATGCTGTGCTCTGCTGGGGATGTTTTACTATATGGCTTTCACAGCGAGGAGTGTGTGTAGCCTGAAGCAACCAAAAGAAATGCTGAAGAAAGGGATGTGTTTTGAGCTGGCACCTCAGGGAGGATAAGGAACTTACTCTGCCCTGTTGGTCCTGCCTGTTTGCCTTCACACCTGAAGCTGCTGCTGGAGGAAGATTTCAAATCTCTCTTCCCCAAAAATAAAGTTCAATTTTCACTTCCAGGTCAGAGAAAAAACAGGAATGAGAACATGGGCAGACAGTAGTGTTCTGGTTTGTGCCTCTTTTCCCCCTCCCTGCCCCTTTTTATCCAGTATCTCCGTTGTTAGCCCCCTGTGCAGCTACTTTCCTATGCTCTAAAGCACTTCAAACCCACTACTTTTGAAGTACGGATGTTTTAATACGGGCAGGCATACTTCACTGTTTAGTAATGATGCTGTTCTGCTTTTCATGAAGTTCCTCAAGACTCATGAGGGATTCCAGACTGCTAACATCACTGAACCTTCAGAGCACCCTCCAGTCAGTACTCATCCAACTTTTTGAAGCAATAGCACATTGCATTGTTGTGAGTCAAAAAATTAGTGCTTTAAAGCATAACTGGTTATGTCTTTGCTAGGAAGAATAAATTTGCCATTACTAATAGTGTGATTATGTATTTAAAATGGGTGTGAAAATTGCTTAGAACCTGAGCAAGCCCCTTGAATCATTTCTGATTGTTCAGGTGCCAGGCTGTAAGGCTCATTAGTGTATTCTGTGCACTGGGTGATATAAATTTGAAAGGGAAGAAATTGCAGCAGAAGAGCGGAATGTTTTACTTGCACGTTTTGAACTAGACCTGTGCTGCCAGTAAGTGAAACTGCATGGACATCTGACGGGGGCCTCTTTCCATTCTGATTTGTAGACAATGAGCTTGCATCTCACTTTAGCAAATGTATTTCCCCAGCCATCCTCTCCGATTTGTATCAAAGGCCAATGTTTGCTTCTAAGAACAGAACAAATAATTAACTAGTACAGAGTAAGACACTTTCAGAAAAGGCTACGGAAACTCATTTTGTCCTCTGGTCTGTTGGAATCACAAACATACCAAACATAGCTACAGGAGATTCTGAAGGTAATTACAGGTGTTTGTTTTGATCAAGGATTTTGTGAGCAGCCAAGTACCACATTTTCTGTTTTTTTTCTGTTGTAAAAACAAATACAGCCCTTTGTATGAAAACCAGCCTTACTGAATTACCGTGAGTGCTAGCACAAGAGCTCCAGACTGAGTGGGATGAAATGGAATCCCATTTTACCAATTTCAAACCTAAATGCTTTACTTCATACAATACTTGCTTATCATCTTAAAGTGACAAATACCTGTAACCAGGAGCTGATAAGCATTTATATTTTCTTTACAATTATTAAGACTACAAGCTTCGTCTCAGTTTTTGTTCCCCTCCAGAAACGGCCTAAAAAACTCAAGCACTAAATGCACAAAATAAATTAAACTGTGTTCAAAATTGATACTCCCTGTCTCCTAATTAAATGGCGTGCTAGCTTTTGTATTTCCTAGGGGCTGGTTTGCCAGCTCCCTCCTCAGCAAACTAGGTTTCCTATTACATTGTGAAATGCCGGTCTTATTCCCTTGCCTCTGTGTACTGGGACAGCCCGCGTGCTTAATGGGGGTGTGGATTCTGCACCAAGCATTTAAAGGGTGTGGATACTGGAGGTGACTTTTAGCACTAGAGATACTTTATTGTGTTTGCTGCTGACAGAAATATACTTACCAAACAGGCACCCGAGGTAAGCTAGGTGTTCTTGCTGAATGCTTGACTGACTATGTGATTTTTTTTTTTACTGTGACATAGGATTCCTGTATCTGTGGTTATCTGTTCTCCTGGAAATGAAGAGATGCGGTAGATTTTATAGGATTTTAATTTCCTTTTTCCTTTCCATTCCGCTCCACTGTGCATTTCTCTAGCTACGCTGTACAAGTTTAAAATCACTTAACACATGGAGTTAGAGAAAACCACATAATGCAGCATGATTGTGGCTTAGCTAAAATTGACACATCTCCTACTGAAGGCAATGGTTTAAATACAAGATGGGTATTACCGGTTACTACTTTTTCCTAGCTTGATCTGGAGAGTGCATTTCCCACTCTGATGATTGGCTACTAAGCTCTCACCAGCCTTACTTTAACTAATTTTAGTACTTCACAGCTGCAGTCAGCCAGCAGGAGCCAAACACAGCATCATGAATGTTTGGCCAGACAGAGGTCTGCCTCTCTACTTGGGGGTTCCTGACCAATGGATAATCACTAACAAAATTATTTGTAGACTGTTTGGGCTGAAAGTCCTGAAATGAAGCATATAACCAATCAAGTTCTTGCTTCTTGCTCTCTTTACCAGTACGTACCCTCGAATGAAGTAAAATACGTGCACATAGCAGAAGTGTTCTTACTGAAGGTTTTTGTAGCACAAAGTCCGGCTTTGATTAGGGCCACTGTATGCTAACTCAAAACACAGAAATAAGACAGCTGGCAACTAACAAATAGAAGAAAAAACATTCCATCCTCTTTCCATCTGAGGTCCAGGCTACCAGCTTCCTTACTGAACTGGAAGGCAATAGTAAAAATCTGTGATGAAAAGCATCCACTCCTAGCGGAGAAAGAAAATCTTCCTTGTTCCATCCTAGTCTCCTCTGCACTTTCCTTTGTTCAGTGACCCACTGATCTCAACTGTGGGCAGAGGAAGCAAACTGGAGGACTGGCACAGCTTTGCCCAAGACTAGACACATCAGCCATCATTACAGTGAGGAGGACGTTTTGGATGTTTAAATCTACCATTTTTAAAAATCAGCACATTTAATGCCCTTAAATGGTTGTAGGCCTACAGTACCTTTTGGATGAGGATATGTAGTACTTATGTATCAGCTACTGTCCCCTTCTATTCAGGGAAATATGTACTAAGAATTGGAGTTTAATTTGCTTTATTTTAAAGACTGAGTCCAGAATCAGCTCATTAAAAAAAAAAAAAAAAAAAAAAAAAAAAAAAAGAAAAAAAACTCCCAAAAAAAAAAAAAAAAAACCAAAAATTCTTTTTTTAAAAAACGGAGCCCAATAAAACCCATTAAAAAAAAAAAAAAAAAAAAAAAGAAAAGAAAGTAAAACAACTGCCATAGACAGAAAAGACAAGCTGTGCTTTTCAAGATCTGGCTTCTATCCTTCTCCAACACGCAGAAGTCAGTTTGCAGGAACTGGGGCCAGTCCAGGAGGTGCATTTCTAATACAAGCACAAAACTACCTTTTCTGTGCTGGCACTAGTTTTGCTATGAAGATCAGATAAACAGCAACGTAGTCCTTAACATCTGTGTTCTTTGTTATACGGTCAAGTTTGATAACATTTGCACTTTCATGTCAACATCTCTGCTGTTAAAATAAGGCTGTGTGTGATACTTCTGCCTGCCGTAACAGTGAAGCAAGCTGATCAGCTCTGCAGATAAGAAGCGAGCATTGAGCCCCGATGAGCGTTAAGCCTGCAATTCATGATTTTTCAGCAGAAAGATGTACTCCTACCGTGTTGTGTTTGAGAGACAGCCAGTCAGGGATGCGAGAACTTCAAGATACCACTCAGAGCCAGTCCTCCCTTCTGGCAAACACAAGAAGCTGTTTTATGACAGTTTTCTTTGAAGTTCCTCCACTGACATTCAATTGAACTGGAGACATATCTACGATTGTTACTGATAAAATGTAGTTTTATTAAATTATAAATTCCGTAACAAACGAGACAGATCAAGAAAGACCTCAAAAACAAAACTACAAGGACTAGATGGCAAAGCCAGTGAAAATGCCATGAAGAGTGTATAGGTAAGAATTTGCAACAAAAGTTAACAGCATTTGTACATTTCCATTGAAGGAAGGTAGATGATTGCTCTTGTCTAGTAAAAACACATTTTAACTCCAAACTCACATCTATTTTCTCACATTAAATTAAGCATCTTGCTCACACCCAACATCTTGCCTGCTCCCACATTGCTTTAGTGTTCTTTTCATACATCAATCCATGCAGAAAGTAGTAAGACACTTAATGCAACAGTCAGATAATGAAGACAATTCAAGTTGTACAGTAGATATACATTGGCCAAAAAGGGGTCGAGGATCTCCAAGGGGAAAATGCTACAAAATAAACACAAGACGTTTTCAAGAAAACTGGGTATTGCTAAGCAGCTTTCAAACCATTAACAGGACAACCCAGTTTCCTACAGTTAGAGTCTTCCAGCTGAGACATGTTAAGAGACTTATGTTAAACAGGCCAAATCTGTTTCTCCCCTTCACCCCACCCTCCCACCAAACACACTGCTAGGTTTGAGTGCAATGCCAATGTGGACAGAAAATTTACAGATACAGGACTGAGTTTTTAATCGCATGGCTCTAGATTTAAACTTCAGTGACTGTGCACTGTCCATCTGGCCTTCTGGATCTTACACTTGTGTTTACCGCCCCTCCCCCTGCCGCTGGTCTATCTGCTCCTGACTGGCTTGCATTTGCGTTCAAGTGTCTCTGCTGGACAGAAGACGGGCGTTGCTGAAGGTGGGCAGATACATCCTCGCTATCGCTGCTCGCATCCGATTCGGTCTCCTCAACAGAGGTGTCAGGGGCTGGCACCCTCCCAGAAGATGATGACTCGTGGTCTTCTTCTCCCTCTCCCCTATGACTCCTTTCAGCCATACTGTCTCCATTTATTTGTAAGTGGGCAAAAGAGTTCTCTAGAGAATTGCTTGCATCAGGCGATGGCGTTGAAGGACTCACCAGCTGACCATCTAGTGAAGGGAGAGGCCTAGCAGAAATGGATGCTAGAGCCTGCACAGCTGCAGCCCCTGGAGTGGGTGTGCTGTCTGCACCGTCAGCGGAACTCTCTCTTGCCAAATTGACAGTGTTAGCGTCACAGTCCAACCTCAGCCCAGCCACTCCCTTCTTTGGTATATCTATTATGTCCCGTTTTATTTTTCTGCGGCGTCCGTGCTCATTTCTCCTATACTGAACCATATTTTCAAGGTCTGCTACGTATAAAAACCCGGCGATTAGCATTTCAGTGCTCTTTTTACCCTTGGAAAAGGCATCTTCCAGCTCTCTGCTGGTACGTTCATCATACTGCCACCAACCATTTCTACCTTCGTAGTACCAAGCGTATTCTCCATTGCCTCTGCTAGCCGCTTTGAGTTCTTCTGGTGACAATAAGGTTGGCTTGTCAAGAAAATCCTCTGGAATCTCCTGCCGGCAGAGTGCACATCGTTTCCCAAGCCAAGAAGCTCCTTTCACGCACAGATAGCAGAAAACATGTTTACAAGGCAAACTTACTGGATGGACACATGTTTGCAGACAGATAGCACATTCGGGGACTGTCAGGGAAGGTGCTGCGTTAGCACACGATTCATTTGTCTTCCTATTTGTGGGAAGCATGTTGATCGAATGATCTATTTCGCCACAGCCAGCCATCCTGTGGAGGATCAAAGATAGATTTAAATCAGTTTATTGTCTCAACCTAAAATGGCACCTTACATCACCTTTGACCTCAACATCCACAGAATGAGATCCTTACTTTAAATTAAGGTCAGGTATCACTTATGAAGCTGAACTCAAAGAAACTGACAGGTTAACGTTCTGTTTCCTGAGCTGACCGACTAAATTAGCAAAAGAATTCTCCCAGTACTTAATTACCAATGTTTATCTGTTTCATTTTCAGCACATGCTAAGTTATCATGCTAAGTTAGAAAAACAAGTTTTGGAATTTCCTCTGTTCTTTCTCTGAAATAGTGTTGATTAATGAACCTCCAGCCAGCCAGTTACTTTGGAGCCTCCTCAGGAATTTTAAAGCAGCTATGATTCTTTCCTCCAGAGGTGATCTAGCTGCAAACATTGAACTTAACACAATCTCTCTTCGCAGTACTGGTGATCATCCATTTGATTACGGGATTGCCTGAACAGTACCTAAGGCTAGGCTTCCCCAGTGGAAAATATGCCCGGCAGCAGCACCAGGCTGAAGTATTCCCCCACTCTGTTTCTTAGTCCCCGTGCACCACGGTACACCATCCCTCAGACTGGGCTCAGAACAACCACAGGGCTGCAGAAAAAAACAGATCTGAAAACCAAGATGGCTTTTTCAAAAGATACCCTGGATTTCTTTTTCCTAAACATCAAGCGATATAGCTGAGTGCATCTCAAAAGCAATTGTTGCAGCCCAGCAGAAGGAGCAGTATATCACAGAAGACACACAAGCATGATTTGATTCGTTTGTGAAGTCATCGCCTCTGTCTTCCCTGGCCGTATCTTATTTCTGTCATTAAAGATGATTTTTGTAGCAACTGTAAGAGAGCAGGGAATGCAAAACTGTGTCACTTTGGCACTGTGTAGGATTTCAGTAGTTGAAAAATTCTAGCCTAAATATGCAAATGCCTTCTCAACTACATTTTTACCATGGCAATCTTTCACAGTCTGTTTCATGGTAATTTTCCTTTTATGTTCTTATTTATTAGCAATCAAAACCAAACACCAGCTATCAAATGAGGGAGAAGAATGGACTTTCGGGGATGGGGCCTAAAAAAGTGCCTTTTTTCATTTAAATCCCCAAGGAACTTTGAGGCATAGTGCTGACATTCAGAAAACAGCCTTTCAGTGAAACTAGTCTTTATTTTACAAGCAGCTAGGAATAGTTCATGCAAAATTATCAGAGGTCATGTAGTTCAGTCTCCAGCTCCTCATAGCACTACCACCAATACTAGATCAGATCAGCTGTGGCTTTGTCTAGCTGAGGTTGGTTTTTTGGGGTTTTTTTTGAAACTTGCAAGGATGGAGATACCACAACCTCCCTGGACAGCCTGTTCTAGTGTTATACCCATTTCTAGAGGACTGTGTTACCTCAAGAGAAAATGCCTAGTATTATTGTAAAAGCCTTCACTGCTTTAAACATCTTATGAATACACGCTAGGATTAAAAAAAAAAATAATTTATGCCTCAGTATCTGTATTTATCTTTACAATAACGTATAAAGTGCTATTTACTTAAAAATATATTTCTGTACGCTGTCTGTTCCCTCCTATCACTGTAATTTCCTCTCGAAAGACCAACACCTCTTTAAACCATTTTTTATCAAATCATTCTTTTAAAAGCTCTACAGCTCAAATATTTTTTCCTGAACTAGCACATAATTGTATCTACCTATGTTTCAGTTTCATATCTGAATTTCTTCCTCTGAGATTAAAGACAAATCTGCATCCTAGTTCTTAAATCAGCGTGCCAGATACAGACACAGCATTACCTACCACCTGGTAACTGTCTTTTTACTGCAGAGTACACATCTGAGGCACCCATGCTAACAGTGTTGTGAACAAATTGCTTTCTGGGAGCCTCACACTTTTGAGGTTATATTTTGCAACAGGATTTTACACCAAAACCAGGGGTTTATAACAAGAAACATACCAGAAAAAGGGGGGAAGAAAAGCTATTGAGACTTCAGAATACCCACAAATACAACCCAACCAGTATCTCACAACAACAGAAGAGCTGAAAGAGAAATCCAAGTATTGGTTAGTTTGTGCTAACCATGATTGAAGTAAAGGATCTGAATTTTCAAGTGCTCCCATAATGAGATACTACTGTGCAAAAAGGCACAGCAGCAGAGTTTTTTTTTTACTTCCATGCTAGAGTTTTACAAAAGGCTGCTTCTCCCTGAATACACTTTATAAGGTTATACTTTTCAGAGTCAAAGACCAAAACACCCTGTATATAAGTAACTTCTATACAAGTCGTGTATCATAATTAAGATTTTGGAGGAGATTAAAATACAGTGTGTTTTGACAAATCAAATTCTGATACCATGACCTAACTTATTAGTGGACTAAAAGCAGTGTGAAAGTTCTCACCTGTTCACCAAAAGCACAAAAATGCTAACAGTTGAACTGTGCTCAATAGGTCACCTGTTAATTTGAGGGTTCTTTGACTCCTTACTACCTCAAGACAATAATGCAAAGAAAGAAGTACATGCCTTATCTTGAAAATCCTGTGTGATTTTTTAATGTCTCAGAGGAAAACGTGATGTGTAAAATGAATACAGCTGGAGGAATAAACCCTTACCTCTAACCAAGCGCTACCCAGCAACATAAAACTCTTAAAAGATAAGCACAACTGCACTTGCATGTGCTCAGAATGCAGGACAATTATGCACTTGAAGATTCGTATAAACTAAACTGATGCTGTCTCACTTTTTATTTTTGAAGGAAGAACCTAATTAATACTTTTTTGTTTACCTTTTTAAGTATCAAATCTAGGTTGTGGAGTGTGTTTATAAGCTGGTATGAGGATGTACATGTCGATTTTTGTTGAAGAGGTAACCCTTCAGAAAGGAGGAAAAACATCTAGGGCTGCTATTCTGCTACATTATGGCTGTGAAAGCACTTTCATTGCAACTTCATGGTATTAAGAACTAAATAAAACTGACCACAGAATATTTTTTCCTGAAGTTAAAAGTAAAATTTTATAACAAGGTTTAATCAAAGCAGGCTTCATATTACAACTGTTATCAAACAGTAAAGCTCTGGTTTTTGGAGGGCTGGGTTCCCTTAAGTCACTTATGGCAACAGGGAAAATTACATTATTGAATAGTGAGACTAAAAATTAATCAAACTCAAGGACAAGTTCTAAAAATAATTTTATTTGAAGTATTTAGATCCTCAGTTCAGGTATAACTAAGGGAACAATAAGCATCTGAACACTGGATTTTGACATAAATACAGCCTAAAGCTGTAGAGAAGGAACTAGTCCACAATCTTGCCAGGTCCTACCTCTCCATTATCCTTTTGTGGTTTGGGTTGTGTTTTGGTTTGTATTTTTTTGTTTGTTTGTTTTTTAATATTAAAACATGTATTTCATTTGTAAGCTTAGGATGCACAGTCTAGAGTGCCTTCATCAACACATAGAGTATGGAAGAGGTGATATATAAAAAAATATATGAAGAGACCCTGGGCTTTCTAGGACTCTTGAAAAAAAAGTAAATTCCGACAAAACCACCTTAAAGCTGAGTAATTTTTCAAACTCCAAATTCTAGCTTCAACTAAGCAGTCTGTCAAGGAGCTGACACATATAAGTCCATTAACAAAACAAGAGCTTACTTTTTCTGAATAATTCCTACTGAAGCATGCCACAAGACTAAAATGTCCTCTCTTCAGATGTCTCCAGCTAGGATGGCAGGTCCTCTTTCCCAAGGCTGGCTCATTCCTTACTTGTCCTGCCCAACTACAGTGTTTCAGCTTCTCTGCAAACTAATGGAAAGCAAATAAATCACCATTACAATATTGTACAGACGTATGAACAAGCAAAATACAATTGCAATTCTGTTACAGAAGAGAAATTACTATGCTTTTGTTTACCTGATGCAGGCTGTTTTCACTAAAAATATCAGACTTCTCTTTTATTTTTTGCAATAATCAATTTCAGCCCACAGTTTTGATGTTAATTATTTTGATGTCTGACTTAAATTATCTTTTTCAAAAGTATTATAAAAGACAATTATCTTTAACTATAATCAGTTAATGGCTCATTTCCATAAAGCGACCGTGTACACAAAAAGGAGAAACAAGACCAAAGTTAGGAGCACTTTATGTGTGTACAAATTTAACTTCTAATAAATGACTCCTTATATTGAGAAAGTTTAAAAAGTCACAATGCCTTTCCTAAATCTGTTTATAAAACCATCCATATTATATTGTTCCAAAGGACTATCTGGGCTTGTATCTTGTCCCTTAACAGGGGCTGGTATCAGATACTTGAGGAGAAAACAGTGCATGCAAACAGCTGATTTTCCCTAGGTCCTCTCCATATTTCAAGCCGTCTGTAGCTCAGAGCCTTGCATCCTTGTTCCCTTTTTCAGAGGTCACATACATTCATTTAATGAATGAACCTCAGAACCATTCAGCACTTTTTTCTTTATAAAGCTACATATGTATGTCTTCATAACAGTTTATAAACAAACTCTATGACCCAGATTTGATGCTTAACAAGGTAAACAAAAAAAAAAGACTAATTAGGATCTTCCTTTATTTCTTTAGAAACTGCTGAAATGCTCCAAGGTTCATTCATGGAATGAATGCATGTCATCTCTGAAAAAAAGAGGACAAGGATGCAACTCAGCCTCCACACCTCTGAGGTAACATACCCCTATCCAGGCTAGCAGGTAATGCCAGTCACAATACATTTTGTGCATGTCACCAACCAGACACTGAGCTAAGTCATTTCACAAATACATAATCATCACTGGAAACCAGTAAGTGTCTAACAAATGCCTAAATAACTCTACAATAAGGAAGTAGGAATCTGCAAACTCCAAGAAGGCAGGGGAACCACAATGATTTCACTGTCGCATTCTCACACCCTAACCAGAAAGGTTTTGACCTAAAAGAACCACCCTTAGTTACAGAAAGTATTTGGGAATCCTCCATAAAAAGACTGATGAGCCATAGCTATAGCTTCCTTCTGGGCTGTAGCTTTCAAGCTGATTCTTAAGCATTTTGAACCACAATTTCCAGTTCTGCAAAATATAGGAATGATGTGAAGCAGACACGAGAATGTCACGTCTTAGATTTCAATTTGCTCAAGGAAAGAATCATTTCAGTATAAATACAGTGCAGATCAGACATGTACAGAGTTGAGTAAAGTCAAGGATGATAAGTCCCTGAAAGAACATGGAACATTTAGTATTACAGTATTCTGTCCTTCATCAAATGATTGAACATTTATCATTAATAACATCAGAGTGAAATGTTCAGATGACTTCAGTATAAGACACATTACTCAACTAAGTTATTTTCTTTATAGCTGAGCTCTATGTAACATTCTGTGCAGCTATTTTTAGCAAGAGCTCCTAACGAAAAACGCAAAAATTAACAAGCCTCTCTACACCTTTTCTCCCCTCGTCGTTCCAGCAGCTTCCCCTTTCTTCACACATCAATCTGAAACCAAGAGCTGCAATCGCATTAAATTTTTGGCTCTACTAATCCACTCAGAGAAGATACGGTGTTTGCTATGATCAAAGAGACAGTTGCAACAAGCTTGATGCTGTGGGTGTGGTGTTCAGTCCTTCATCTTAGGAGCTGGCTTTCTGTTACTTCTGTAGGTATCACTCGAAGCCTTTTATCTACTACCTCTTGCAATCCACTACCTGTCGCAATCCGCTATTAGAGGTAGCACATCATAAACCCGAATGTTATGTGGACATGGGAGAAAAAGGTTGGGACAGTTCTGGCAGATTTCTTCGGAAATAAAAATGCATGCGTGTATTCAAGGTATGTAATTATACCTAGAAGAATCCAATTAGGGCTTAATTATAGGATTATGGTAAGGCAACTTTCAAATTGCTGCACAGCTCTTAAAAAGAACTAGTTCACAAACTGACTTCAGGTAACCTCTACATTTCATGACATTGTTATTTATTTAATAAGCCAGTCTTGAAAATTTTACTAAATGGGATAAAAGACACTTGTGGTTACTTACACATACCCCCCTTCCTGGACGACAATGACTCCTTTAAAGTCAAGTGGGTAAGGGCTGTGTTCTATGCTTAGAAATTAATTTTCTATGCTAGAAAAGCATGTAGTATGAGCAGTTACGCTATCTGCAGCAACCTGCAAGTATCCCCTCCTTCTGCAGGCTCCTTAAATCCATGCATCCTATCACACACCAATTTTGAAACTTTCATTCAAGATGCAACAGATGAAGGACAACCCCACTGATGAGGAGCAAGAATTTAAATTGGGCAATATCCCCTCCCGAACTGAGGTTCGGCTAGCATTTAACTGCTCTCTCTGTCCCCTTGAAAGTCTCTCAGGATGCTTGCTGGGAGAAGTCACCTCTGCTTTTTCCATCCAATTTAAGATGTTGAAGCAGTGGACTTCCTACCAGAACGATCTCCCAAAAATGATTTCGGGTTCTCCTTAAGAAAAATTTCAAGCTTTTACTAGACCAAGATGGAATAAAATAATTTATTGTTAGTTCAGTCAACCGTGCCCATTGAATTCCCAGTAAACAATCAGACCCAACAGATTTTTTTCCACTTTTCTATTTCTTTAGAAAAAACAGCAACAATAAAAAAAATCCCAGTAACTTACATATTTAAGAAGCCAGCTCCTAAATGCTGATGAAGTTACCTACAGTCTTAAGAAGTCTTTTTTGTTAAGTAAAACCTTAGCTTTTTTAAAAACAAACAAGCATAAATCATTGGTAAATTCAACTAACACCAGCTCCCAATAAAACCAGACAAAGACTATTATCTGAGTCCTACCTCAAATGACAGATGATCTCACAAATTCTGCAACTCTGTACAGATTACTCTAAAACAGCTATCACAAATTCATCATTTCCCCCCCCTCATAGGTTGAAAACTCAACAGCTACAGCATTATTTCAAAAGACTAAATGCTCTTCTGTAATTAAATACTTGGATTTTTTCATCAAGCTCTCTAACTTGTAAGTCAGTTACTGGGGGGGCGGGAGGGGAAAAAGAATCCTGTATTTCTGCCCTTCCCTCCAAGCCACCACAACCCAAACGCTGTGGGAAGAAAGAAGGAAGGTGGCTGGTTTTTTAAAGGGGAGGGGGGGAAACCACTCTCCTGTCGGAAGGTCTGCTACTGTCAATATAGTATCGGCATAAGGTACTGAGCATATCGGCTATTTTTTAAACTGTCCCCTGGCGCTGGATAGTGCAACAGATAAATAACCTTGCCATTTCCTGTTACTTACTTTTCTGTATTTGTTTCTTAAAACTTTGGCTATCTTCAGGAATTGCTGACTGCGATGAGGCTTCAAGTTGCCTGTCATTCCTTATCCTTTTCTATTACACATTAATAAGAAGAAAAAAACCCAACCCTTATATGTACATTTGGAACTGCAGCACAAAAGAATAGTCAAGTGCAGAACAGTCAACCATTTCGGTATTGAACTGCTACATATTTATTCAAAATGAGGTTCTTCTCCTGCGCTACAATTGGGAGCACTGAATTTGAATTTTGAGCATATATCCTATTTCAATTTAACAGAGCAAAATGTTAGTTTTTCACTCAAATAAAATGATATGGTGTGGAAAATGAAGCAGAAATTGGTTCATCCAAACTTATCAATGCTAAAAACAGAAAGTAAGTACAGGAACATCTCTTCATATATATACACTTGATTAGCATGCACAGGAGAGGGAAAAAAAACACATCGATTTCAACAAAAAGACTTTTCCCCTGCCAGTTCCAGGAGTCCACTGTTCAACGGCCTTTAAAAATACTGCACTTCCAGCTCTCTAAGTAAACGACAATTCAATTAGATCTAAATTGATGCAGTATATTTTGAAGGAAACAAGAACAGAACTTTTTCTTTCACTCAGTACAGATACTGCATTATAGCAATTTAAACAATTGGTACTTTGATTTGTGTGGAAAGAAAGCACAGTATTAACCACACATGACTATAAAGCAAGTTCTTGCAAACATTCAATATTTAAGATTCACTCAAAATGACCAAATCAATATTCGGATTTCACTGTGTCTTCAATACTATTACAGACTGCAATTTTTGGTAGTGCATTTTCTGAGATGCTTTAAGGACTATTTTTAAGTAGCCCACTGTCTGGAGACAGCAGCTAACAAAGTAGCAGAACTGTATTTTTAGCATTACAAATCTGACAAAAGCAAAGCTCCGCTCCCCACTCTTCCTTGTAATTATTCAATGAATGCTTACATACTACACCACCAGTAACAAAACCTACGGTATTTCTAGTTTGTATCACAGAAAAGTTATGCTAGGATTTAAAACCCCGCACTTTAATTTGGTTTTAACCATTTCACCATTCTGATTACCTTTTTCGTATGAAGAACTCATATCTACTAAATACTTTTTAATGATTTTTTTTCAGTGGTGGCAATATGTACCGCACCAAAAGCCGGACCTATTTTCACGTCCCATTTTAACACTCCGAAGGGATGCAACCCAAAAAACACTCGAGCTGAGGCCATCGATGGGCACAGGGAAACAAAAGCACTTCCATCATTAAAAAAAAAAAACAAAAACAAAACCCAAACCACCGTTTACGCCTTTTTACGTGCTTTGCGCTGCGCTCCTACGACTGTTGGCACGACATCCATTCCAGGCTCGCACCCCTCACCCAGCCGCAGCAGTGACATTTTGAAAGGCGAGTGACAACAGGCACAGACGGGGACGGACACGGACGGACGGGGGTATTCGAACCCCTCTGAAAATCACAGCGCTGCGCTCCTGTGGCAC